AACCTCCAAGAATGGAGATTCCACAGCCTCCCTGGGTAACCTGTTCCAGGGTTTTACTACCCTCCTAGTGAGAAAATTCTTCCTAATATCTAACCTGAATTTCCTTGCTGCAACCCGAGACCACTGCTGCTTGTTCTGTCATCTGCCACCACTGAGAACAGTCCAGCTCCATCCTCTTTCAAACCCCCTTTCAGGTAGTTAAAGGCTGCTATTAAATCCCCTCTCAGTCTTCTCTTCTTTAGGCTAAACCCAGTTCCCTCAGCCTCTTCTTAGAAGTCATGTGCCTCAGCCCCTCACCATTTTGGTTGCCTGCTGTTGGACTCTCTCCAGAGGGAGTGGTCAATCGAGGTGTATTTTAAGTCCTCTAGTATACTAAAACCAGGTATGGTTCGGATCAGATCAAAAGGTAATCAGCTCTTCAATCCTGGAGACTACTTTTTTTGCCCATTTTATAATTACAACTAAGCAAGCTGCATGACACCTCCTTGACTGAGATTTTAAAAATGCTACTGACCTAATATTCTCACTGAGTACAGGGCAGTGAAAAACTGGGAATGATGAATAGGAAACATAAGCATGATATTAAAAAAAAGCTCTTTAAAATTAAGTACCTGCATGTATTTTTGATGATGTATGTTGTGATGTCATTTCTTTTATAGTAGTATTTTAAATGTTTTCTTTCAGAACCAGTATAACCTAGCAAGAGCACAACAGTCCTATAAGTCTCTAGTACAAATACATGAGAAAAATGGTATGTCAGTTTTGCAACTCTGCTTGTTTGTACAAATTGTACAGCAGCATAGAAAATGTTTTTTTACATCTGTTGTTTGCTCTTTGGTATTCAATAAAACTTTTTAAAATATTGAAGCATTTTGCTGCTTAAAAATACTTTCCTGCTGCTTCTTTTGTCATCTTAGTAGAGAAGGATAGCAGTGCTTGCAACTAACCAATCTACTGTTCACTATAAACTTATGCTATATCAAGTAAAACTATTCCATGCTTCTGCTGTGTGTTGTACTGTATTTTCACTTCCAATGTGCAAAGTTGTTCTTATGACATCTTTTGTCTTGCATAAGTCTCCTTTTCCTTCCCCAAAGAGCTAATCATATGATAACACAAGCAGACAACAGTTAATGAAAGGATCAAGTTTACAGGAGGACTACAAGTTAAATGCAGCATGTCCAGGGGATGTTAGCTTGGCTGAACTATTCAGTTCTGCTCTGGAAAGTAGTGGCACGCATCCCATACAAAGCTAGTTACCACCAGGTTTGTCCTCTCAGAACTGGCACTTTCTCAAAGTACATTAGATATGGGACTGGTAAAATTACATCCACCTTCCCAATTGGGAAGGGGTGCAAATAGTTTGAGACCCTGAGGGGTTAAATGACTTTCAAGTGACAAGATGGCAGTAAGGCCAGAAACAAGTCTCTTTACTGTTTTTTCCCAGTCTTGAGTACCAGTTCCTGTGAGGCCATGTGGATGTGGCTGCCTCCCAAGATTTAATGTTAATGCTTGTCTAGTAGAATGAACCACTTGAAACAAGTATCGGGTCTAAAGAAATTTTATCATGATCCTTCAATTGGAAAAGACCTCACAAGTGTCATCTAATTCAACCTTTTGGCTCCCAAGCCATATGAGTGATTGCACTCAGGCTGTGCTGCCTCTACCGAGCCTTGTGCACCCAGATTGGAACCCAGCCCTGCATACATGGGTCAGGCTCTGTGTTGCCTCTGCACAGCCTGCATCAGCTCCATGCTGCCTCTGCCCTTTGCAGGGCCCCTCAGAGATCTGGACATTTGGCAGCAAGGGAGCAGCAATGTTAATGCTACCACCACTTCCCCTACACATCAAGCTTTTGGATCTGTGGGGAGCTTTGTGGGCCGGATCTGGACTTTGAGCTAGAGATTACATGCCCCTGATCTAGTTCAACCCCTTGCACAGATGCAGGATTTAGTGTACCTAAACCATTCCAGATGAGAGGTTTATCAGTCGTATTGAAAGCCTACTATGAAGGAGTTTGCACAGCTAAAATTGCCTGGCACCCTTAAAAGGATCTTATGGCAAACCCAGGTGCAGCAGCACTCTGGCTAAGAATCACTGGTATAGATTTCAAAACTGGCATATGTCCAACTTTAGCAGGCAAAATAAGATTTATATAAGCATATGCCTATGTAATTAAAACTGCAGGTGCTATATACATGGCTTGCTGGATTGTAAAATAAGGTCCTTTTAAGGTTTTGAGATGTATGAAAACAAGATGATGATTCTTGTCCAATTCAGCATGCCAAGAGAAGCCTCAAATGTTAATGCTTTATTTTCAGATATAAATACTAGCTTTCCTTCTGCCAGGTGATGTTTAGGGCAGTTAGTGCCTTTTTATTAAATTATTCCTATTTTTATAATCAAATTTTAAGCTTCCATCTTGCACAAATCAAGATAAAGCATAAAGCTGCCTTGTTGTTTACTTAGTGTGGGCTTTGCAGTTGTTCTAACATCTGCACCTAACCTGTTTCTTCTACAGGGTGGTACACTCCTCCAAAAGAAGATGGTTAATACTGAGGACTGTTTTACACCTGGACCAACATCAACAAACAGAGCTCTTTTTTATTTCTCTCCAACACACACAGACTCAAGCTATGAGTGCCCCTACAACAGCCGTACTGAAGACTTTAGCTATTAGATAAATTAGTGGATAATCTGTCAACTGACACATTCAGTATAAGTTACAGCCTTACCATTCCGCTCTTCTTAGGTATCTTGGACTGAGCAGTTTTGGCCTTTACTGTACTTGTCCCTCTGGATTAAGTATACTTGGGTCATTCCCTCCTTCTTCCCTTTTTTTTTTTTTTAATTTAAAAGTGTAAACTCGTTAAAGCAGGCTATCAAGTTACTAAAGATCACTCAATAGGAGTTGCTCACAACACTTTTCTGTGTACTTCTTACCTTTTTGCAGAATGTGGACTGCAGAGATTTGCATTGTATTATTTCATTTAAAGCCAACAAAGTTTAATACATTGTTTAATACTGTTCTAGGAAATTTCGGGTCTTGTAAATCACAGTAGTTTTTCTGGTCTAAAATGACAACATTTGTAGTATTGCCAAATTAATGATATAGGAAAACCACATGTATGTTAAGTCATTAAACTTTTTTTCATGGCTGTGTTGAGGATATGAACTGTTTCTTGGAAGAGATACTCTTAATTAGATTATGTTGTATTTTATAAGCAGAGCAAGGCTGTGCCAATAAAATCTTGTAACTAGTCACTTCCACTGGGGCATCAGAATTTTGCTGGGCTGTTCCTGCTACTTGTTGGCTCAATCTCTTAACAACAGCCACAGTATGAAGCTTGAAGTTTATTTAAGATACTAAAAACCTTTTTAGGTGTTCCATTTTTGTTATTAACGGGTTGTTGCAATCATTTGTAAACTAATGAACTTAAGTGATTGGCACAAATCAAGATGAAAATCCTTGAGCAAAAAATTTATAGAAAAAGCTAAATAAAGTACAGAAAGACATCACCCGATTCAGAGATTTTAAAAGTGTTGCCATAATCATGACAGTGGTTTTGATATTGAAAGACTAACGGGAACTATTCTTTCTTAGGAAATGAATCTGGGTCTGTGTAATTACTGTGTTTCATTGCCTTATCTAAATCAATTCTATTTTGGTTGTAGCATTAGGGATTAGACCTTTACCCCCAGGGGTTGAAATAAGGGTGTGTACCATGGATTAAGCACTTTTTAGAAGCCCAGAAGCATGTGTGGTTTGTTTTTTTAGTTATGACTATCAAATTTGTGCTCTTCTTCTTTTCTCTATCAGGCACCCCTGGGTCCTTGTGCATTTGCTTCTAGATCCAGTTTTTAGCTTGAAAGAACAGACTGAAGAGATTTGGCACTACTCCTAATTTTATATATTATTTCAAATAGTTTTATAGGAAGTATAGTGAATGACTTCCCAGCCTTTCTGCTTCCTTGGTTGTATGTATATTTGTATTAAATCCTGGTAGCCAATTGCTCAAATAGCAACCTTAAGTGAAAGGCAGAACTCCTTAAGCATTAAAGTTCCTTAAAACCTGAGGCTAAAATCTTTGAATACATTATTGAATTCTTTAATATTCTAATGGGCTAGCAGGTTGACAGATGCACATTTGGCATGCTTTGTTTTTGGATTTCATTTTTCATTGCAGAATTATTTGGCAATGTACAGTAATTTGTAAACTTGCATCAAGTTTATGAATAAAGAACCATTTTAAGAATTATTCTTTTTGTGGTTACTGTCTCTGGATGCAGGCAGCATTCTGTTCATGAGTACCTTGTGTTATCCGTGTAGGAGGGAATTTAACAGGTTGCTGGTACTTTTCTTTACAGTGAAGTCTTGCTATCAGGCAGCTCTTTCATTATCCCCTAAATCAGGGGTGTTTCAACCTTTAAGGAGTGTACCCCCCTGAAGAGTTGGGGGTGGGTCTCTCAGTGACTGGTCAACACACACCATGCTTCTCAAGTACTTTTGGCATGCTTCCCAGGTACACTGTGGTGGTGCGAAGAAGCAGGGGTACTTGGGAAGCATGCCACTGCCTTGCATACCCCCGGGGCCTTCCCAAGTATATACATGTACCCCTGGTTGACAACCCTTGCCCTAAATGAAGGATCACTAAACACTGAATAGTACAAATTATCCTGGGATCGTATCTTCCACTGCTGGTACCAGAAGTACTAAAATGGCTGGTTAGGGTGAAACCATTTTAAGATGCTGTTAGAGCTTAAACTTGAAAGCATATAACTAACTGAGTTAGAGATTGACAGCATTTATTGTCACCAATACCTTGCCTTGCATAGAAGTGCCCATTCATTGGCAAAATGATGACTACTTAGGTTTACATATCATTCAAATGGAATTATCCTCTCTATGCAGCACAATGCTGGTTTTAATACTAACCCAAAGGTAATGGCACTGCCCTCTCAATTGCCAATGGCACTTGTGTAACAGCTGTTTCCTTGAGGGTTTGGTCTGGCTTGCTCTAATTTAGCTTGGGATCTTGCACAATTACAACAGGATGTCCTGTGGCACCAAGACTAGGAGGTTAGTTTTAAGCGGAGTTATTTTCTTAGCCATTTGTCCAGAATGACCAGCTGATGGCATAACTAGGCCAACAAAAGGCACTGCTTAGTCTTCATGCCTGATGGAAAACATTTTTAAAAAACAGCTTTCACTGCAGAGCTTCCTTCTGAAACTGCGGTGTCTGGTGGACTGCGGCGCCAGTCTCCTCTGCAGCCAGTTGCCGTTCTTCGCGCTCTCGCAGCCTGCTGTAACACGTTCCCCGACTCAATACCTGCAGCACTGTCCTGGCATATCTATACGCATTTCTTTTTTAAACGCCAGACTCGGGCCCTGCCCCAAATGTGCTGGAAACCTCGAGGCCCCCTCTATCCTCCCCAGCTACGTTTCTGTAAACGCCCCCCAGCAAGGAGTCGGAAGGACTGCGGCGCTGACGAGTCTTATCACGTGGCCACACCCCAGAAGCGGAACCATAGTTCCCAAACCTTCCCCCCGCAGTGATCGTCGCTTCCGGCCACGTGACCCCGGCTGAGGCCCGGACGCGGACACCGTGTAATGACGCCATCAGAGCGCGCCGCCGGGCTGCACCCTGGTCCCCGCTCGCTGTACGGAGCCAGGCCCAGAGCCGCGGCGGTCGCCATGGAGACGGACACGCAGGGGCCCTTCGTGCTGAGCAACCTGGCCGAGGTGGTGGAGCGGGTCTTGAGCTTCCTGCCCACCAAGGCGCTGCTGCGAGCGGCCTGGTAGGCACCGGCCCTGCAGCCCTCGCCCGTCCTTTCTGTGCGTGGGGCTCCCCCAGCTCCGGCCCCGCCCGCCGCTGAGGCCTGGGCCCCGCCGCCTACTCCCTACCGTGGGGCTGGGCTGGGGCCGGTCGGCGCCAGGCCCCTGTGTCCTTCCGGTGGCACTCGGGGCCCTAGGCGGGAGGAGCGGGCGCGGGGTTGCGGGGCCAAGCTGCACGCAGGTTGGAGCAGGTCTGCGGCGGCCCTTCCCCGGCCCAGCCAGGGCCGAGGTCTCTCAGGTTTAAATGTTTCCAATGGAGGCTTGTTTGTGAGGCTGAGAAACCTACAGCATCCGTGCCACCTGCGTCTGCTCCGTGCTATCCTGATCACCACTAAGAACCCGGGGGCTGCTTACGCCTTGGATCCAGAGAGCAAGGAGCAAGCCAAGCCAAGCCGTCTCTGCAGCACTCTCGGCATCTGTACCGTATCAGGATTTTATGTCACTGATACCTATGTTTGTGCTGCAGAAGAACTGGGAATGAATTATTGAATGTGCTCCTCTTGTGGGGGAGAAAAAACCAAGTCTCTTAACATACGGCCGTCTCTAAGTGAGGCAACTTACTGCTGGCTACTGTCAAAAACATTTTATAACTGGGAGCAACTGTTAGGCCTGTACCCATGCAAATAAGTTATTCAAGTTAAATAGAAGGCAGTGGCAAACAGGGTGCATTTGATTTAAATCACTGGTCATGAAGCCTCAATTTAATCACTGTTTTCTGCAAAAAAGTGCATCTTTGTTTGATATCCTCTATTCATTTAACTTCTTGAAACTTTGCACTTTTAAAGAAAGGTAAGGGCTTGGCTGCGTGTATGCAAACTTGCAGAGAGACAGTAGGGCTGATGGGTAGGTAATCAGGTCTGTTATCTTGCATCGCTGTATACTGCTGTTAACAAGGATGTTACCTCTGGAGACGACAAACTCTCCCTATGCCTGAAGAGGGGCACTTGTGCCCAAAAGCGTGCAAAGAACAATTTTTCCAACTATTTAGTTGGAGTAATAAAAGATTTTGCATCTACTCAAAGAACTTTGTCTGCCTGTGATCTCTGGAGACAAATCCACCATTTGAGAACTGAAACTAAGCATCACAGAGATGCTTAATGGGATCTTCCAGACTGAGCACAAAGTCCCATTGGGTAGGGTGGTTTTCTTTAATCTTTACAATCTATAGAGGAGTCTGGGAACCCCATAAGATTGGACCCCTAATATAGTCCATGGGCTGTTGTGACCTATTTATAAAACTTTAAAGAAAATTACATGAATATATTGTCTCAAATAGTGTATATATAATTAGAAGTTATAATCTGTATTCTATGATTATATCTGTGAGCTTTATCAGATCTCAAATTAAAACTATATAAATTATTTTTTAAGCATTTTTAAAAAAATTTTGATTTACATTTTTTTAAAAATCAATTTATTTTAATTTATTTTATTTTTGTAATTGTTGATTTTTATCCACCCCGGTGGCAAGCCACAATAATCCCAGTTCCATTTTAGTCATTCCATGTACTTCTTTAAAGGAGTGTGGGTAACTTCTGACAGCATGTGATAAGCATTTCCAAATCGAAAGGGAAAACACTGGGGGACTGACATGTGCCAAAGTTCTCTTTTGTAGTTGTGACGTGGAATCCTTGTATTTCAGTGTGTGCCGGTTATGGAGAGAATGCGCTCGTAGAATACTGAGAACGCAGCAGAGCATAGCCTGGGTATCTGCCCTTGAGCCTGGTCCATCTGATACTCATTCGCTCGTCCGCACATTAGCAGAGGAACTTGAGGTAGGAGAAAGTGTCACAATTACATTGATACTCGTGGTTGAGTTTCTAGCTACTGTGGCAAGATCTTTGAGCAGACTCCTGTTTCTGCTGACGTATTTTTCAGTCCTTCCGTAGCCTTTTTAAGTTTCACCATATATATATGAGGTCTGTTCAAAAAGTATCAAGACTGATGCTGTAGGAAACAAAAGATTTAATTTAGAGGGGTTTCAGCTTAATCTCCTTTGAAGTATGCTCCTTCTGCAGCCACACATTTCTCCCAACGTTTCTGCCATTGTTGGAAACACCTCTGATAAGCACCTCTGGTCAGTCGCATTTTGTTTTATAGTTTCCACATCACAAAATCTTCTTCCTTTCAAGGTTTTTTTTTAGCTGAGGGAAGAGAAAAAGGTCACATGGGGCTGTATCAGGTGAATATGGAGGTTGCGGCACTTGTAGGATATGGTATTTGGCTAAAAATTGCTTCACAAGCTGTGCTGAGTGGTCAAGCACATTGTCATGGTGAAGCATCAGAGAGTGGGACCTCCATTTCTCTGGTTGTTTTTCTGGTCATTTCATTCCCAAATTGCTGGTTAGAATTGAATGACATGAATCAACAGAAATTCCAACTTCTGCTATCTCTTGGACAGTCAATCAAAACAAACGGAACCGCTGCCACATTTTCATCATTTCCTGATGTTGAAGGGCGTCCGGAACGCTCATCACTTTCGACCGATGATTGCCCTTCTTTAAACCAACGATACCATTCAAAAACTCTTGCATGGCTCATAGTACCAAATGCTATTTTAAGTCATTCAGATGTTTCACTTGCCGTTTTCCTGATTTTCATGCAAAATGTAATGTATATACATTGTTCTGGACACTGACATAAAGAAAGGGGACGTGAGATGCAAACTATCTTGCTTCAACTGCTGGCCACCATGAGCTCCAAACCTGTCCAGAGGAGTCCTAACATGCCCAGACATTAGAGCTGTGTGCAGTTTCAGTCCTGAGTTGATTTGGCCCGATTCGGCAGCTGAATTTCTGAATTGAATCAGGAGACCCTTTAATCTCTCCGAATCAAATCGGAACCCTCTGAATTGATTCGGAGAGCTTTGATGATTCGGACATAGACACAACTTTAAATGTTTTTTCTACATACCTCAGGGTACCAGGTGGCTTGTGAATGCTGAGATGGTGAGGCAGATGGAGCGTGGGATTGTCCCCAGCATGCTCAGTGGTAGACCCAGGAGTGGACCAGAAGCACTTCCAGTCCACTTCTGGGTTCGCTGCAGAGGACTCGGGACCCCAGACTAGTTCCTCCTGGGTCTGGGGGGGCAGCTCCACAGCTAATAACGGAGCTGGTGGGGTGTGGGGGGGATCCCCTGTGCGCTCGGCAGCAGACCCAGAAGTGGACTGAAAGTACTTCTGGTCCACTTCTGATTCCGCCACTGAACACATGGGGGGGCCCCCACTGCACTCCTGTGGGACGCTCTGTCCACCCCACTATCTCAGCGCTCATGAGCTGCACCTGGTACTTTGAGGTATGTAGAAAAAACATTTAAATTGTGTCTATGGCTGAATCACTGAGTCTCCAAATCAGTGTTGAATCTTCAGATTTGGATTTGGCCAAATCAAATTGGGACAGTGATCCAAATCAATTAATCAAATCACTGTCCCCCAAATCAGGCTGAATCCAAATCGAATACGGCCCACTTTGCATGCCCCTACCAGACACGTTCAGCAAAGCAATGCCCTTCACCCTATACTTGTACCAAAAAATACACATTCAGTCTCAATACTTTTATAACAGACCTTATGTATCTGTCTCTCCCAAGAATCATCTAGCTATATCATGGAGAAGGAATTTTAAAAAACAGTCTTTGGTCATACAGCTCACAAGTCTCCCAGCATAGCTGTGCTGACTTTGGACCTGACTTGGCAAAGTCAGAAAATATGACTGCCACAGCTAGTTACTAAACTTCATTTGGTAGACTGTGACCAGAAAAGTGTCAAGTGTTTTCTAATTATTACCTGTAGCTTTCTCATCATGTATATTCAAGGTGATTTTTTTTTAAGTTCAACAGTTATTTTTTGTGCATAAAATACAAATATTTACTGTTTCAGCTGCTTCAAAGAACTTTGTAACTTCCCTTGAATAATGAGAACACTGGCTTTTATGGGGGTGGGTTTCCACAGTTTAAAAATAGTCAAAAGGAGGAGAAATAAAAAATGCTTAGAAAAATTCGTACGTTTATTATTCTATATGCCCCTCATCAACATAGTAAGAATGAGAGAAAGCGTGGCTTATTTTGGCTTGGCGTGTTACTAAAAAGGATTAGTATATAAAAAAGCAAATGATCTCAAATGAGAGTTATTTAAGAGTGGATCACCAAGGCATTGCTGAAATGTTGGCTTTCTGTAGAGCTGGCTCTGTATACATCTTATTCATTTTATAAATAATAGTGGGTCCCTAATAATAATTTTGGCCCTAAGCCTATGTTTTATTTTACACCCAAGATATGTTATGTCATCAAAATCATTAGTATTTTCCACAGTTTGGCTTCGCTGCCCAAGAGGACCATCAGAATGAGGTCAGCGATTGGGAGCATTCTTGAGAAATTCCAAGGAAAGAACAGCAACCAGGCACTGTCCAGACCCAAGGGGCTTAGCAGCATGTGGATTTCAACAGTTTGATCAAATCACAATAAGTTGGTATCCAGAGAGACACCTGACCCAGGTTTCAACAAGCAGGGGCTTTTCTAACTGGGTTTTAAATTTTCTTTTGACTTCATAGAATCATAGAAAACAGGGCTGGAAGGGCCGTTAGGAAGTCATCCAGTCCAGCCCTCTGAAGGAGCATCCCCAACTAAACCATCCTAGTCAAGTATTTGTCTAACCTGCTTTTAAATACCCAGGGATGGAGACTATACAGCCTTTCTCTGTTCCAGTACTTAATCAGAGCAAGACTGTTCTTAATGCCCAAACTAAATTTTCCTTGGTGCATTTTAAGACCACTGCTCCTTGTTCAGTCCCCTGTGGTCTCTGTCCTTTTTGTAAGCACTCCTCAGGAATTTTAAGACTGTTATTGAATCCTCTCTGTCTTCTCTTCTCTTCTCCAGATTAAATAATCCTTGTTCTTTCTGCTTTTTCTCTTAAGGCTTGTTTCCCAGGCTTCTGATCATTTTTGTTGTGCTCTGCTGGACCCTTTCCAGTTACTCATAGTAGTACAAGGTAGTGATAGCAACATGGGAAGGAAAGTTCATTTTTTAACATGCCCATCTGTTGACATTCTTTAATTTGAGAGAGTATTTTAACCATATGTCATGATCTTCCCACACTACTGAAGACTGCAATACTATTAAATACATCTTGGAAATCCATATGCCAGGCACCAGTGTCTAAGCTTTCTGAAGCAAGTCTGGGGTTCCAGGATACCAGCAGTTTGAATATAAACTTCAGTATTTCATCTCTGGCCCTTATTTAGCCATAGTGAGTATGTCTTCACATGCATTAATGCTCTTTAGTTAATGCACAGTAAATCTAGTACCTCTATTGTGAGGTAAGAGGAAAATGCACATTATCCTGTCTTAATACACATTAACTAAAGAGCATGGTTTTTAGTGGTGCTTAATGTTCATTGGCCTATTTTAATGAGCATTAACTAAATAGCACATTTTAGTGACATTTTAATTCGCATTGAAGTGCATGTGTAGACGTGTCCTTAGGCATTAATCATTCTCTAGCATTCCGTAGTGCTATTAAGTGAAAGGAGACCAGGAGCATCTTACCCAGGCTGTAGAAGAATGTGGACCACCAAATGAATAAAGCATTTCTGGTTACAAACAATGGATATTCAAATTAAGCATTAATCTAAAAATGCAGATGAACAAGTAAATGTAGTTGGATAAAAGGCTTTTTTGTTGACTGAAAAACAAGTTAGCCTTTCATGTGACAGATGGGTAGCTAGGCACAGTACTGTCTACTCCTGTGCCTGGTCAGCAGTGACACAGCTAATGTTTGATTAGGAATGTAGTGCAGTTCCGTGTCTCTAAAATGTATTGAGGTTCTTTGAAAAGGATTAGAAAAGAAGCCAATTTGTTATAGCCAGGACTTTCTCATCACTGGCTTTCAGGAATCTTCCTCTCATACATCTAGTCTGGATTAGTTGTCTTTGAGTCAAGGTGCTAAATCCTGCAGTTAAGTGGCAAAGTCTGTTTTTCTTATGTTGTTTTTTATACTTTACAGAAAGTGCATGTCCTGCCACAAACTGTGCTCTACATAGCAGATGCAGAGACTTTCAGTGGGCATGAAGACTGTCATGGGCAAAAGAAAGGTAAATACTAAATCCATCTGTACTCCCTGTATTAAGAAAGTCTTGTCTGGTACAAGAGTAGAGTCAAATGCTTAAAGGAAAACATTGGGTAATGTGGTATCATCCTTACTTAGCATCAGAGGAAAGTAAATCACTAGGTAAAACAGAAGTGAAATTGTCATGTTGCATTCGCATCCATGTCAATACAGCTCATCCTATTCAGGATACTGAATTTCACTGTACCTCTTTTGCATGCTGTAGTTTTGTAATGTGTCTTAGTTGATAAGATTTGTCACATGCTGAAAAAGCTAGCCAGTGATGAGTTGCTTTGTTTAAATAGCCCAGGGTTGATTATAAGCCACTGTTTAATCCCTGTTCAAAGTCTTTTCTGTTATTACATAGAGCAGAGGACTCTAAGTCCAGAGGCTGGGGACCTGGGCCAATTACTTTAACCCTTCCTGTATCTCAGTTTACCCTTCTTCTCTTACAGCAAGAAAAAGAAATAGTAAAGAAACAGCAATTTCATTAGAGAAACTATTGCCAAAACGATGCCAAGTTCTGGGACTGGTCACCCCTGGAATTGTAGGTAAGAAGTAATGTCTAACTGGATAATACCCTGCTTTCAAGATGCTTATAGCTAGGTACAGGCATTCAGAAAGCCTAAGGCATATTCATGCTAAATTACATGGGTTTCTCTAAGTGGGCTACATTAGCTTGGGAGTGAACACAATTTCACCATTTCATGGGGAGGGGCTGGGGGGCACAAAGGCTGCCTGCACTGGTGGAGGCCAGCAACTTGGGGACTCTTCTGCATGCTTGCCGGAGACTGCCAAGGAGAGCCAGATGCAGCTGAGTGGAAGGCCACCTCTGATTACCTGCTGGGCACACACCTCCTCCTGCTTCCCAGTCATCTGTCAGGTAGATGTCAGCTGTGAGCAGCCAGCAAAAAGAAGTGTGCTTTTCCCAGGACTGAACTGGAGTGGTTCCAGGAAGGATTTGGAGGCTTTCCTCCTCTACCCCTAGAGCTAGCACCAAGTTCCTAGCTGAAGTCCCTTTTCCTGCAGCTTCAAGGATATGGTTGCCCCCCTCCCCAGGGACTGGAGCCTTGCACCCCACTGAGGGCTGGCAGTAGCACCCACACCTGCTCAGTGCCAGGCTGGACACGTGCTACAAGGCCTGCCAGTGGCAGCATGTGCTCAGGTCCAGGCTAAATGCACACACATATCCACACACCCCGAACGCCTGCGCCCTGCAGGGGGGCTTGAATGGAAAGTTTCTTTCCTAATTATTTAGGAACATAGTACTGAAGGGGACCTTCTGCTTGCCGTAACCAGTTGTGGCTATTGCAGACAGCTATGCCACAATCCAGCTCAGAAACAGATTAAGCTTCATCTTAAAGTTAATGAGTCTCTTCCTGATTTCTCCAGTTGGAAGGCTATCTAGAATATTACTGCTTTCATGGTTAGAAACCTCTTTCCCAGATGAACCCTGTTCATGCCCAGTTAATGTCCATTTGTCATTATGCCCACATTATATATCCTATGGCATTATCCTATAGCTTAAATCAGTCTTTTCTCTCCCTTGTTTTTATCTCTGTCTGTGTATTTATAGAAAACAAGCCTCTCCCTTCTCAGTTTTTGGTTTGTTGAACCTAGCGAACTCTAAGCCCTTGTCTTTTCTCAGGAAATAAGCTAACCATTCCCCTGCTCATCTTGGCCTTTCTCTGCACCTGTTTAAGTTTGAATTTTTTGGATAAGTATAAATCCCATTTTCCAAAGCGAGATTGTCTGAGTTTAGTGGAAAATCAGTAGGACTTTGGCTTTTAAGTGCCTTCATCTCTTTGAAAAAAAATTACATGTTATTTCTGAAAACAGGATTTTGCAGAAAGAACCTGCTGGATGCAAGAAGCTGATTTTACCTGGTTTCTCTCTTAAGGTATATCACAATGTAGGCAAGATCATAGATATCAAAATAAGCAAGTTACTTACATTACATGTCTGTATTATTAGCTACTCCTATGGGCTCACATGGGAATCGGCCTCAAGAAATTGAAGATGGTGAAGCTGGCTTTGCTTTATTGTTCCCCAAAATTGATGGTGTGAAGATCCATACTTTTCACTTGTTTAAAGATCTGAAGAACAGAGTCTTTGATGAAAGTAAATTTGCTGAGGCAGGCAAGTCACTGTTTAATTTTATATCAGCTGCTTCATGTGTTATGGTATCAGATTTGTCGGTTCCTGAGGGATGTGAGTTGCTTTATTTGTGACTGTTGCTGACATCAAGCAGACTTCTGGCCGAGTGGGTAAGTACAGCTACCCTGGAAGCACGCAGATGTGCACAATAGTCTGAGCTTGCCAGTAATGCTAGCGCTGTGGGGTCCATCTCTTAGACTGTGGTGCTAATTCATAGCACCATTATGATCAATAGATCAGAGTTGTTTATTATTTTTACAAAGCCCTGTCCTCCAGAAATTATCCTAAGTCTCTTCAGTTGAATGCCCGAGTGAGGATGTCACAATCTCTGGCACACTCGGTCCCTCTTAGAAACCTCCTATACATTCAAAAGGTCATCAGAAAATGGCCAGGGCTGTGCAACTTGACCTGCATCAGCTCCAGTTGCTTTTTAAAAATTAATATTCAGTGCACATAGTTCCTAGTCAGATGCTTAAAAATAAGAAGTAGGCTGGAGGGGAGGAGCCAGCAGAATTCCCCTTGCTGACTATAAAGCATAGCATAGAGTCAGCACACTGTGCACTCAGTGGAATAACTGACCCTGCAAGAGGAACTTGGCCACATCAGGGGTGGAAGACGGGGCTTATGAGCCTTTTTAATTTCTGGGCACTAACAGATACCCCGTTTGCAATTTGTGTGTGCCTGAGCAGTGCCACTGCCTGATGCATGGGTTTCCAAGGAAAGGTATTTACTCCATCATAAAAGTTTTCCCAGTGACACACTTACTGTGTTCCTCCCTGTAGTATTCAGAGTTTGGGTTGCTAAGTACAGTTCAAAAATAAAACATACCATTATTGCTGTGGAAGCAGAAAAGAGCTGAAGAAGGTCCAGGCAGTTCTCCTATGGAAGGTCAGTCTTCACATCCTGTGCAGAGAATCTCAGCACACATGTTTTTGTACCCCTTACCTTTGTGTGCCTGGAAAATGCATTCCATTTATCTCACTGCTGGAGGACCCAACTCAACTTGCCTCTGGCTGCTGCTGCCACAGTAGTGAAATACTTTTTGTAATATGCCAGCTATGGTGGGGAGCAGGGGAGGATATCATTAAAGATCCTTGGATTCCAGGGGCTGAGACCCTTTTTAAAGGTAGAAAGTTTGTTGTTTTTGTTTTATGTCTAGGTCTCAAGAACAATCCTGACCTCCGAGTGGTTCTTCTGTTTGGCTACAATTCCTGGCGGACAGGAGCAACTCGATTTCTTCACCAAGTTGTCAATCCTTTGAATGAAAAAAGTATCATTCTGGCTGGTGGGCACGTGGAGAACTTCACATCACTAACCTCAGAAAAGTGGGTACCTCATTCTGGATACCTGTGATGAAATATTGGAGCATCATAGATGAATGAAATCTCTATGAATAGAGCGGAGTCAGACAGCAGTGAAAGCCACGAAACAACTGTAGATGAGCTCTATTACTTTTGTTGTGGGGGGAGAAGGGAGGAGGAAGAGGAGGAGTACCCAAGGGCCAGCCTTATGTTCGAAATAGCATAATTTAATATTAGGAATGAAGTATTAGAAAGAAAGGCTGACAGTGGCATTAAATCTGCATTGAGAAAGATGATACAGGGCTGCAGCTTCAGGTGGACTGTTACAAAAACAAAGCAGTAGATGCTCAAGTGCTAGAAACCAACCTGCAGGGGAATTGTAGAGGAAAAACGTCTGCTTTGAAAAATTCCCATTAATGGGCCATCTTGAGAAATCTTCACCTGAAAGCAGTTGTCTTCTGTGTCCCCCTGCATGCCTTCTCACTCTCATTTCAGTGGTCAGAGCCCCATGCTTTAGCTAGTAAAAGTATAAAAGCCTGTTCCTTCTTCAGTGGGGACAATCCTGCAATTCTGTTAATGCTTGCTTTCAGGATTGTGTCCCACTTATTTTATCATTGGTTCACAAGTTCTTGCACGCTCATCTTCCAGTTTGGGTGTGAAGTGCTTCTGGACAGCACCTAGGGTTATTTTCTGTATAAATTTGTGATATAAAAGAGCTTTATAATTTATCTCCGTCTGGGGTTGGAGAAATCGGCAATCTCTAATTTTCTTAAGCAGTGCATTTTTTGGTATTTGGAAACTTATTGGCTAGCAATGAAATGGTGCTTGTATGCACCACTCCTGTCACCTATGCTCAGGTGCTGTGCTGGGAGTGTTCCTAATGCCCCATTATGCTTAGGATTTGATGGCAACCAGCAGGGTATCCTACAAAACAGTGCTACCGACGGCTGAGCCTTGTCACAGCAAAGTGACTGAGGTCATCACCTGATAACACAGCATGTCCCAGGCAGCTGAGAAGAGGGGAAAAGCACCAAGATCCTGCAGATTTACTGACAGTCCACTCCCTCCTGCTCCCTTGTTCTGACAGTTGAACACCGAGCAGCCTGATTTGCCCAGTTTAGTAGGCCCTAATTCCCCAAACAGCTCAGCCTGGCTTGTGAATGGGTGGTCCAAATTGCAGTTGGCTTGAAAAGGTATATTTCTGCCTCATCTCCAGCAAGGGATTCTTCCTTCTGTTGAGGGGTGGGAAAGACTTACCACTGGCTGGTATAAAGTGCCTCTGCGCACAGGGTGCATGCCAGTCTGGCCCTGATGCCAGACTAACGCCAGTCTGGCTGATTGGGTCTGTCTTTTGTGGATGGCAGTAAAGATCTCCTTGGAGCCTTGTCTGTTCTGTCGGTATAAACTTCTGCCACAGCCTGTACTGAAATCTAGAATGATTCCTCTGGAAACCTCTAATTTGGTGTGCATTACCTTTCAGTGGTAACAATCAGCCTGGTGATTCCTGTGGGGTCGTTGGATTGGCTTTCAGTGGACCCCAAATACAGAGTGCTACAGTTTTGTTAGACCAGGATGTCGTTGACGAGAGGACAGCAGAAGCAGCCATGCAGCGTCTCAAAGCAGCAAACATTCCAGAGCACAACACCATTGGCTTCATGTTTGCATGTGTGGGCAGGGGCTACCAGCATTATAAAACCAAGAGGAATCTTGAAGCAGATGCATTTAGAAAATTTTTTCCAAACGTTCCCCTCTTTGGCTTTTTTGGACATGGAGAAATAGGATGTGATCGAATAGTCACCGGGAATTTCATACTGAGAGAATGTAATGACATAAAGGATAATCTGCTCCATGGGTATACTACAGTTATGACTCTTATTCATCTTGGTTCAGCTAAACCCAACCAGGTTTAAATGTGTTTTTTAAGCATCAGTTGAGCTCCTTGGTGGCTTCTGGGACAGTGGATATGTTTGCAGTGAAGGCATCTTCCAGAATGTAAAGGAAATAGCTTTCTTGTAATGTTCTCAGATCTTGTAGTCAGAATAGAGTTTAATATAATAGGTGTGGGAAGGCTTTGCATTTTGTGTAATAAAGTGCACAAGTCAGTTGCAGGTAAATGTACATGTGATGGAATCTTGCAATAGAAAGAAGTTTTCTTTTTCTAAATCTAGGATTTGCACATATGACAGTCAAGTCCCAAATTAACACAACAGTGTAGCAATGAAGTCAGTATTTGATGTAATCTATTCTATAAATATATATAAAACAGTCTGGGGAAAGCTACTGATGGTCATGTGATTGATTTCACTGAAACTGTTTTCAAGACAGACAGCTACACACGCTCTCCACATCTGGAATTGGAACCTGTTAACAAAAAGGCCTCTCTTTCTTAGGCGAGATGAGTGAGAATCTTTGGATAAGAATCATGCCATATCCATTCAATAAAATACAAAATATGTAAGATGTCTAGTATTGTCTATATTAAGAAAGAAAAATGTGATATAAAGGAAAGCTCTCCAGTTATAAACTGACATGACTAAACACCTTGTAGTCAAACAGTTTTGAATATGTTATATACTCTTTACTTGTTTATATATTAGTCTCTGTAGGAGTAGGGTCATGGGGTGGAAGAGAAGAAAAAGGTGTTGCCTGTTTATCTCATTTTTACTTTAATGGACATGTTTTTTTCCCCCAGGCTTCTCTGGGTTGAAGTTCTTAAATGTGCCATTTTCCATGGTTTCTCATTTGCATCAATACAACTAGGGGTACTTCAGATTGTTCTGTCAGTGGAGCTTTATTATAATTTAAATATTTTTCCTTATCTTAATCAGTGAAAATAAAGATGAGAAAAAATTACTCATGTTTTGCTGTATTTCACACCATCTCCAAATACCAGATATGGCATGAAAGATGGGATGATGGGCCAGTGCCAGCCCCATGAGGACATTGTACCAAACTGATACAGTAGGGAAATCCTAATTCAAGATAAAATAATGCTGTCTCCCATGGGATGGGAAGGCTTGTTTTGTTTTAGGACAGTCTGTTGCACTGTGACCTATTTATAACTGCTGTCTATAGTACACACCTTGTAACATTTGCCATGACATGTCCTGTTGCCAAAACTTGTCACCAATATTCATTCTCATAGTGACACTGACACTAATCTGTTCTGTGCTGACGGAAAAAATCAGGGTTCAATCTCTCTTCTCCCATATGGCTCTCCAATTAGGAAACCTCATACAGTTGCTTTTCCTTGTTTCTACCTTTGGTAAAATCTAGATCCCTTACCCATCTGTTAGAACATCATATGTGCACTGTACTCCTTACTTTTTATTTAGCTTCTTTCTACTTCAATAACCATCTGTCATTGGCTTCTGAGAAGGGTTTATGGTATGAAATTATATACCTGCTCCCAGTCAATAATGGTGCAATTCTGGCTGTAGCAGCAGCAGGTAAAGAGAAAAGCTTGAGTAAGGACTTCTTAATGGGAGCGCGTATTTCAGAGAGGGGCCGGAACACAAGATTACTATACCAGCAGCTTGAAACCAGCACTAAGAAACTTAGTGTTGTGCTGCAGATCACAGACTTTTCTGAAGTTCAAGCCTAGGTTTTTGGTAGCTGAAATCATTATAATGCTGGTATAGTAGGTGGCTATGGTACAAATTTTACTTAAGTCACTCAGAGGTTTTACATTGACTTCCAAGCAGCTTTGAGCAGAGCCCTAGATCAACTGTTTCTTTGGCTTTTGAAATTAGAATGCATACGAACTGTGCTCTGAACTCCTTATGATTTATAGAAAAGTATAGATACGTCTGGCATAAAAAATCCTTATTATCCCATTTAACTGTATTTTGCAGTGTTTGATATGTTAAGGTCCTTTTAAAAGGGGAATTTTCAGTGAGGCTTTTTGACTTTCCCGTAGAGTTGGGGATTGCCACCTCTGAAGATGTTCCCTTCAGTCATATTTTTACTACTATTTAACTTGGATGACGATTTAACTAAGGAAACAGTCCATATACTTTTGTGCAGCTTATCTTAAACCATCATCTTTGAAAACTGGTGATCAGGAGGGGTCCCAAGTGATTAAAAACGGCAAACATACTGCCCATATTTAAGAAAGAAAAAAGAGGATCCAGGGAACTACAGACCAGTCAGCCTCACCTCAGTCCCTGGAAAAATTGAGCAGATCCTCAAGGAACCCATTTGTAAGCACTTGGAGGAGAAAAGGGTGATTAGGAACTATCAGCATGAATTCACCAGGGGCAAAGTCATGCCTGACCAACTGGATTGCCTTCTATGACAAGGTGACTGACTCAGTGGATGCAGAGAGACCAGTGGATGTGGTGTATCTTGATTTTAGTGAGGCTTTTGATACGGTCTGCCACAGCATTCTCACAGGTAAGTTAAGGAAGTATGGGCTGAATGAATGGCCTGTAAGGTGGATAGAAAACTGGCTGGAGCATCAGGCTCAGAGAGTAGCAATCAATGGGTCAATGTGTAGTTGGCAGCCGGTATCAAATGGAGTCCCCCAGGGATCAGTCCTGGGGCCAGTTTTGTTTAATGTCTTAATCAATGACCTGGAAGATGGGATGGAGTGTACCTTCAGGAAGTCTGCAGATGACACCAAGATGGGGAGAGTAGTAGATACACTGGAGATTAGGACTAGGATTCAGAGTGATTTGGACACATTGGATGACTGGGCCAAAAGGAATCTCAAGAGGTTCAACAAGGACAAGTGCAAAGTCTTGCACTTAGGATGGGACAATTCCACGCACCAGCACAGCCTGAGGGCTGACTGGCTGGGCAGCAGCTCTGTAGAAAAGGACCTGGGAGTTACAGTGGACAATAAGCTGAACATGAGTCAGCAATGTGCCCTAGTTGCCAAGAAAGCTAACAGCATACTGGGCTGCACTGGTAGGCGTGTTGCCAGCAGGTCAAGGAAAGTGATTATTCCCCTCTATTCAGCACTGGTGAGGCCACATCTGTAGTACTGTGTTCAGTTTCCGGCACCCCACTACAGACAGGATGTGGACAAATTGGAGGGAGTCCAGCAGAGAGCAACAAAAATTGTGTGGGGGCTTGGGGACATGACTTATGAGGAGAGGCTGAGGGAACAGCTTATTTAGCCTAGAGAAGAGAAGACTCAGAGGGGATTTAATAGCAGCTTTTAACTACCTGATGGGGGGGTTGAAAGAGGATGGAGACTGTTTTCAGTGGTGGCAGAAGACAGAGCAAGGAGCAATGGCCTCAAGTTGCAGCAAGGGAAGTTTAGGTTAGATGTTAGGAAGAATTTTCTCACTAGGAGGATAGTAAACCACTGGAACAGGCTACCCAGAGAGGTGGTGGAGTCTCCATCCTTGGGGGTTTTTGGAACATGGCTGAACGAAGCTTTGACTGGGATGATATAGTTGGGGCTGCTCCTGCTTTGAGCAGGGTAGGGGGTCGGACTAGATGACCTCCTGAGGTCCCTTCCAACCCTAATTTTTTATGATTTTTAAGATGTGCCAAATAGCTGCTTGAAATTTGTGCCAACTGCTCGATTTTTGTAAGCTTTGCACAGCATGCACCTTACTCATTCTTCCTCACTATACCTTGGGTGTACAAATGGCAGCCTCCTCTGTGTTTCCTTTTGTAATAAATTTTAAATATTTAAAAAGGGGATACACTTTTTTCTGGAATTACATAGAGTGGCTGAAATGTGGCCTTCAAAGGACTCATCTGGCAAAAGCTGTGTCTGGGGAATTAGGATTTTTATATGTGTTCTATGGGTATGTCCCCATGAGCAGGAACATGCATTTCCCCAGGGACAAATAGCAGCAGCACATAGTTGTCCCTTGCACGCATGCTCTGGAGCGCAGCAAATTACCTGGGCTCCTAGGGGCCTCCTGGGGCTGCAGCAGCGGTGATCCACATGTGCAGAACCTGGCCAGCAGCCAGAGAGGGACTGCAGCCAACCTGGCTCCAGTTTTAGGCAGCGCATGCTGCAGCCATGTGTGCCACCCCACTTTTTTCTGGTGCAGGTTTTTTAGATACTGGAATTTCCCAGTATCTAATTTTGCCACCACACTGCAAATACACAGCGCAGCAAACAGAATCATGAGCACCATGTGCATTTCACAGCACCTCAAAAGGCTTTGAGATGTTGCAAACTGTATGTGTCTGCTCACCGGGATGCAGCTTATATGGCTACTTCTAATGCAGCTTTGCAAGGGTGATCTATTAGAAGCGAAGAGATTGGAAGCCACACGGCACTGAAAGGGGTTTTAACCCACAGAAACCTGTTGATCCCAGCTTTTTGTTGCATTTTGCGCCTGAAGATTTGGCCAGGTTATTAATAGAAAAACCTTATTATACAAATGAGTGAGTCAGGGTGAGTCATGTCCTCTTGGCAGGGATCATGCAAATGATAAAACTGACTTTCAGCTATGGCAAAGGTGCCTGGTGAGACCATGAGAAATGTGTGTTGAAAAGTATGTTTTCTTATTTACTTCTCAGTTAAAAATCTAGCTCTGCTGTGTATCAGATGGGATCCTGGAATTCTCTGCTGAGGGGAAGTAGGGAAATAATGTTCGGAGTAGCAGGAGAAGAAAACAATCGGTATAACATGGCTTTATGTGGCATAGCATTCTTTTGAAAGATCCTACATACATTTTAGGTCCCTTTTGAGGTAACATGCAAAAAAGGAAGAGGTCAAATGATCAGTGTTGCTCTATATGCAATATGTTTTGAAAAAAGTCTTTACCTTGTGTATGCTGAGAAATTAACATTCAGGGGTTTCACTGGGTAGACAGGTGCCTTTAAAGTGGCTTTTGTTAGGAGTGGCCTATGAAGTTAATGTTTGAGAGAACACTAGAGTTCCTCCACAATAATGGAAACAGCGATTTCTTGCCTTTTTTAGGCTCCACAGTAATTTCTAATTTTTTTCATTGCTCTGCAAATAGAGGTATAAAAACTGTGTGAATCAGTCATGAGAGAATATTTCTCTTGAACATTGGCCCAAATACAAAAAAGACAGAGAGAGAGCGTAAGCTGCTGGCAGTCTACACTAAATACTTTATTTTGTGCATTTCGGTTGAGATACAGATACATAGATAGCTTTTTACACAGGCTATGATCAGAAAAAAGAAAGCAAGAAGAGACATGGACTTTTGATAATAACAAGGTAGCAATTTTTTGTACAATAAAGAAAAACAGTTTCAGTTTTTTTTGATGTCCTTTTGGTATCTGTGTGCTCTTTCTCTTTAAAATAAGAAAGGTAGCCCTGCTTGCTTGCTAAAAGGTATGAACCTCCTCCTCAATGGAGAAAAAATGATAAATGATTTATGTCTAGGTGCTTTTGACTTATTTGGTATTACCTGGGGCAAAGGGGTGTGCCTTATCTTTTCTATAGCTCTTCAGTTTACCATCTAGCTGCTATCAAGAAGAATTATGAGATTGTGCATTTTTACCTTACAAAACTACAAAATTGATTTCTCCAATAAAACTCTTAGGGAATCATCAAGTAACCTGATTAGTGTATTTTACAGAATTATAATAGAGTTCGCAACTGGCAATCCTGGACTCTAAAGTAGCTCTACTAGAAGTGGAAAAACTGCAAGCCGAGCCCCAGTTTCCTCTAGCAACAATTTAAAATATTCTGGTACTGTGTCTACATCTGAAAGAAGCCAAATGCCAGTGGAACATGATGTTGTAGGGTTTTTCCATGGTAACGTGTAGAAGAGATAGTAATGCCATAATACACCCATAACCACTATTCATAAGAGATCTCCTCATGCAGCTATTCCTTCTGCTTTGGTATTTCCTCTTTTATAATTTACACCCGGGCTGTCCAACTAGCAGCCCATGAGTTGTATGTG